GAGGCAGAAACACGAACAGAAGCGGTTGTTTTTAGAAATGGCACATATACAGAAAAATAAAAAATGTGTAAATAGAAAATTAGATATTGACAAATCAAGTAACATTTATTGTTACATATTAACATATCAATAAATTCGGTCATAATCTCATTTTCTATCGACATTCTAACATTAAAAAATCCATATGTGCTTAAGCCAAACTGACTGGATTAATTTATATTTTTTATATTTGTTTATAGACAATTAAATCAATAATAATACAAACTATTGTTACCGGTTTTGCTTTCCACGTAAAGTAACTGTATATTCATTCATATATGTCCATTAATCAAACCAACATGACAATGACATATATAGTGACAATATAGTTATTTTTAATAAAAAAATTTAATATATTTATATAATGGTTTGTTTCATAAAGTACAATAATAACTGTAATCTCACGACTAGTAAGTAAGACAATTAACAATTTTAACTAGTTAATTTTTATATGGTATGTAATTTAAAGGTTTCTTTGACCATCTATCATCATTCATTCGCTTCACGTGTCCATACCATACTAGTTGTCTCGTGTCAATTCTGTCTACACTGGAATATACAGTATTTGTCCTCCTTCTAATATCTTCATTCCTGAGATAATATTTGTTGGATACACTACACGCTCTCCTTAGAAAATCCATTTCTCTAATAGTTTTCCATCTTTTTTCGTGATCTGCCAAACTTCTGCCCCATAAGTCATAATAGGCTCTACCAAGGTTCGATAGATTGTCAATTTCTTCTTGCAGTACCGTCTCCTATCGGAGGTTGGCTACCATCACAGCAATCTTTATTTTGTTGGCTGCAGCTCTGAACAACTGTATTGATTTGCACCCATACCACTCCCTTAAATTTCGCAACCAGGAAATCCTTCTACGTCCCACATTTCTCTTTCCCGAGATTTTTCCTTGGATTATGAGTTTAAGTAGAGAGTACTTTCTCCTCTCATTATGTGGCCCAGATATTCCAGTTTTTCGTTTGTATGGTTTTTTATGATTTCGCATTCCTTCCCCATCTTCAGCAGAACATCTTGATTTGTTACTCTTTCTGTCCATGGCATTTTCCATATTCTCCTGTAACACCACATCTCGAATGCCTCAATGTTTTTGACGTATATCAAGGCTATATTTCAGTGTCCAGGCTTCCATGCCGTACAGCAGAATGGAGAAAACATAATACCTTAACATTCTCGTTCTTAAGTTTATATTTATGTCCCGGCTGCACAGGAACTTTTTCATTTTGACAAACGATTGTCTCGCTATCTCTATTCGCCTCTTGATTTCTCTTGTCTGGTCATTAGTATCAGTGAAGCAAACCCCTAAATATTTATAGGACGTAACTCTTTCAACTGGCTGATTATTTATGGTTAAATTCACATTGGTGTATAGCTTCTTTGTTACAATCATGAATGTAGTCTTTTTGATGTTTAGTTTTAGACCATACTTATTGGTATGAGTGTTTATGTTTTCCATCAAAAACTGTAAATTTGCTAGGTTATCCGTTACTATTAGCCTGTCATCAGCGTATCGTATATTGTTAGTTAACTCTCCGTTAATGTTCATACCAATAGCACTTCCTGGCATATTGTTTAGCTATATATATATATATATATATATATATATATATATATATATATATATATATATATATATATATATATATAAATAGAGTGTGTATAACGACGCTAAGAATACAATTCTTTGGAGGGTAACTTTCGGGAAAGCGTCAAAACAAGGATCAGCTAGAGATGGTATAAGCCAGCTTGGTGTAGAACTTTATTCTATATGTGAAATTTTCGGTGATATGTTGTCACCTTCATCAGCACCTAAATGGAAAACCTATTATAGTACAGTGGTGGAAATCAACATTTAAAAACCTACATTGAAAATGTTCAGTTGGTCCTAGTTGTAAAAAACACTGTCACAAACATGTTAAAAATATTAAAAAATACATTTAAAATTTTGAATAAAAACATTACAACAACAGGGTAGTTTTTCAAATACAAACACAACAAAAGTCTAAAATTTACAACCTACAAAAACCACAAATATAAAAGAAGAATTAATCTTCTTTTTTGATGACATATTTCTGTCAACATCCGGGTGTCATATGTAACGAGGTTATAATTTTCACTTTTGCACATCACAACCACATGGATACGAAAAGAAAGAGCCCTAGGCAACATAATAAGCAAGGGAATGAAGTCCCCTCTAAAGCACAGGTAGGTAATCTATGCATGTCATGATAAGTTCCCCACATTTTCCAGTTTGTTACTTCTTGTCAAGTCCTGTTGAAGTAGAAAGGAATAAATACAACTTAAGTTTTCAACATCTTTCTTACAGTTCATAGGAGTGTTCGTACAGTTCATAACTGCAGCTCTCCTATGAACTGTAAGAAAGATGTTGAAAACTTAAGTTGTATTTATTCCTTTCTACTTCAACAGGACTTGACAAGAAGTAACAAACTGGAAAATGTGGGGAACTTATCATGACATGCATAGATTACCTACCTGTGCTTTAGAGGGGACTTCATTCCCTTGCTTATTATGTTGCCTAGGGCTCTTTCTTTTCGTATCCATGTGGTTGTGATGTGCAAAAGTGAAAATTATAACCTCGTTACATATGACACCCGGATGTTGACAGAAATATGTCATCAAAAAAGAAGATTAATTCTTCTTTTCTATTTGTGGTTTTTGTAGGTTGTAAATTTTAGACTTTTTGTTGTGTTTGTATTTGAAAAACTACCCTGTTGTTGTAATGTTTTTATTCAAAATTTTAAATGTATTTTTTAATATTTTTAACATGTTTGTGACAGTGTTTTTTACAACTAGGACCAACTGAACATTTTCAATGTAGGTTTTTAAATGTTGATTTCCACCACTGTACTATAATAGGTTTTCCATTTAGGTGCTGATGAAGGTGACAACATATCACCGAAAATTTCACATATAGAATAAAGTTCTACACCAAGCTGGCTTATACCATCTCTAGCTGATCCTTGTTTTGACGCTTTCCCGAAAGTTACCCTCCAAAGAATTATATATATATATATATATATATATATATATATATATATATATATATATATATATATATATATATATATTGAATAATAGTGGAGAAAGCACACAACCCTGACGCACACCTCGACGAATCTTAATTGCTTCGGTTAACTCATTATCAACTTTGATTTTTACTGTTTGTCCCCAGTACAACCTGGATAAGATGTTAATATCGCGACTGTCGATGTTTTTGCTTCTTAGGATTTCATACAGCTTTTGGTGTCTGACTTTATCGAATGCCTTCTCAAAATCTATGAAACCTACGTAGCGGTCTTGGTTTACATCCAAACATCTTTGCATCAACACACTCAGACCAAACATATTCTTTTGTGAATTATTTTCAAAAATTGTGTGAAATTTTTAGTGTGTGGCTCATCAATGCTATACTTCTGTGGCCTGAACACTCTCTGGCGTTATTCGTCTTTGAAATTGTGACAAAAGTAGAGGAGAGCCATTTCTTTGGTATGATGCCTGTTCTATAAATTGTGTTAAAGAGGTTCACCATTATTTCAAGTGGGTCGTCGTCTATAAGTTTCAACAATTCTACAGAAATTTCATCTGGTCCTGCAGCTTTACCCCCTTCTGTGTTCCTTATAGCATATTCTACCTCGCTTTTTAGGATTTCAGGCCCTGTTGTGTCGTCTGTAGGTTTTGCCACTGCTATTTCTGGTCTTTTGTCTGCAAAAAGTTCTTCAATGTATTCTGTCCATCTTGCCAGTTTTTCATTAAAATCTGTAATTATTTTTTGTCCTTTACGATGGATTGCTTGTTTTACTTTTTTACCTGTTATTTCCTTGATCTTTTTATGCATCTTAAAGCTATCGTACTTTCTATCATATTCTTCTATTTCCTTGCAGTTGTCCAGAACCCAGTTCTCTTTGGCTTCTCTAATTTTTCTCTTAATTTCACGGTTCACTTCTTTGTAATTTATCTTGTTGGTTTTATTTCTTCGCCTTCCCTCCATGAGATAGAAAATTTCGTTCGTCATCCATTCCTTTTTCTTAATTTTGCTTGAAGCTAAGGAGCCTTCACCAGCTGTCATAAGGGCCCTTTCTATCTCCATCCATTTATTCTCTACATTGCCTGTGTTCATATTTTTTGCAGCGCTGTTTCAAAGATTGTTGTTTACCTGCTCTCTTGGCCTTTCCAGTATAGTTGCGTTTTGCAGTTGCTTAACGTCTATATTTTGTTTAGCTGCACTTTGTCAATAGATTTTTTGTCTAATACCTTTAGACCATATTAGATACTTTATAATGTTAACCGCTTTTTTTTTCCTGCTGCATTCTGTTTTCGATGTCTCTGTTGGTAGTGCTTCTTTAGATATTATAAATCCGAGATATTTATAGTCATTTCATGTTTTTGTGTTTCTAATTTCTAACTCTGGAATTTTCTTTATCATCTTCTATTTTAAGATACTCTGTCTTTGGCATATTCATATTGAGGAACCATTTTTTATTCTTTCTTTAGATTTCTAGACATGTAGTCCATGTCTTCCTCATCATTTGCTACGACTACCTGATCATCTGCGAAAAATAAAGTTGTTAGACATTTACCACTACCTATGTCTATTCCCATTCCGGATACTTGTTTCCTCCACTGCTCTAGCGATCATTGAATATATATTTTAAATAAGGTCGGAGATAGACATTATCCCTAGAAGGAGAAGATATTTATGTAATTTGCTACTTAATATATTTATGATACTGTTGGTAAAAGTTTTGTGTATTTTAAATAGAAAGTCTCCAGGTCGATAGGTATCTTAGCGTCAGAGGAAGTTTATAGAAATGATTTTGATGAACAATACATGACACAAGATAAAAAAAAGTATTATATAAAGTCAAATCATCATGAATATAAAATTACATTCTACCAATTTAATAACAATTTATAACTATAAAATTACTTTAGATTTCCACATTTGCATTAAATTTTCCTAATCTGTCCTACGTTTATTGCATTTTAAACTTTACACAACTGTTTTTCCCATTAAACCTATTAGTGTGGACCATCCTTGAATCGAATTATTGGCGTAGTTTTTGGTTCGTCATTGTTTCCCTAAAAAATAATAATGGTATGTAAGATTGCTGCATAAATATAAAATATGACTTGCATAATTATATTAACTAGTATTTCAATTATGAAAATACTTCCGACATTGCGATTCAACTACTGTCATAAAGTTTCAACCAACTTATACATTTTAGATGAATTTAGAAATGTATGTAAAGCTTATCAAAATTTATGAGAACGAACACATTGAGAACACTATTGACATTATAGGGGAAACAGTTTTCAGAAATGTTTTCAACTAAGAATTGAAAGGATTAGCTTTAGGTAAGGTTTTAAACTTAATTTGCTTCAGTAAAATCTACAGTTAAAAAAACTTTAAAATTTCGATAAAGGAGATAAATAAGACAAGTTATATATTCTGTTATTAGTAGTTTAAAAATTTAAAGCTTTTTCCATAAAACATGAAAAAAAAGTTACTTGTACCCATTGTATTCTAGCATTATTTCAGCATTAGTAACAGGTGAAAAGAAAATATCTATAGGCTATTATATACTTTATTCACATAATGAAACATATTTTACTATACATTCTCATACTTACAATCAGAGTCAATTATGGCGCTTTTATCCATATCATTGTCCGAATCTAATTCATGCGCTACCCTGGAAGTAAAAGCTGTCACATTATCGGACTTTCGAGTTGTAGACTCTCTTGTTTTCGTCTTTTTCTTTTTTTTTTGTTCCTTATAAGGCAGATCCTTGTAAAACTGATGATAGACGGGTGGTACATAGTCTAGTATTGTGTGGAGATCCTTCCACTTTACTATAGTAATCATTATCTCGTTGTTGTGGACAATATTTTCTCTAATTTCGAGAAAAGTCGATCTCTTGGTAAAACGGATACCCATCATTTAGAAAACGGAAAGTCCTCTTGAATAGTATTTTTAAATTGAAATGAAAATATTGCAGCATCTTTAGAATATTTAAAGGGGTTTATGTATCTAAAATGTAGAGGCTTTTTTTCTACATCTAGTTTTGGATCGTATATTAATACTTAATTGGAGTATTTAATTTTTGGAATGTTAAAAACATTTGTTGAGTCATACTTGTGGATTGTTTCTTTTGGCTAGTTCAATAAGAGCAAATGCACGATCAAATTCTATATACGTGTATCCAGGTTTTAAAAATTTGTGGTGGATTTCCTCTAAGTGAGTAGCTTGTACAAGAAATATGAACAACTTGCTTATATATTTATTTTTGTTTTGTCCTCCACAGGAATCACTTAAGGTAATAAGTTTTGTTACGGTTAGTGGTAGAGACTTAATGAACTACAGAAGACACGATCCTATTGCCTGTGACGCTCTCGAAGCAATATTTTCAGACCACGTAAACATATGGGCCTTGTTGTGCAACAAATCGTAAACACAAAAATTATATGTCCACAACTGCCTCAAATAAAACACCTTAGATGTTGTGATCGGCGGAGTGGATAAAATTTGTTGCAGATCAAATCATACAACTAAGGTATCTGCCGAAGATATGTAGGGTATCTATGTCTATTTTTTTGTCTCACGCGCTAACTCAGCTTTATGGTGGTGGACAAATAGTTAAACCTTAGTTTCAGCGACATTCCTTTAATATGTTAAGTGTTTAATAATATTTTGGTACTTATCACATCTGGAACAGGTATCAGAATGTGGTCTATGAAATAATGCAGCAACAAAACAAATGGAGCTACATGTTAATATTAGTAAAACGAAGTATGTGAAACTGACAAATGATATGTAAGTGCTCGCAAATTAACCAGCGTAATGCAGAAAGTGCATATATTAATAGACGAATGTATATGGCAAATAGAGCATATTTTGGATTAAATAAACTTTTTACAACAAACATAGTTATAAGAAAAAAATTAAAATATTAATATTAGAGGTGTGCTTATTAGTTCTTTTAGACGAACTAGTTCAATAGAACTATTTCACAAAAATGAACTAGTTCAGTGAACTAGTTCCCGAAAGAACTATTTATAGGACCGACATCGAAATCCAACCCTAACAGAACTGGTTGCCAGATGTCTCATCTTAATCATCACACAAGCTCGGCGCTTGCCGCCCGTTTACGTCGGATTTCAGTCAGTCTTTCACTAGTTCACTACCGTACAAGTAGTTCGGAACTATTTCTTTCTTTCAGTCAGTCTTTCACTAGTTCACTACCGTACAAGTAGTTCGGAACTATTTCTTTCTTTCAGTCAGTCTATCGCTAGTTCACTACCGTACAAGTAGTTCGGAACTATTTCTTTCTTTCAGTCAGTCTATCGCTAGTTCACTACCGTACAAGTAGTTCGGAACTATTTCTTTCGATCGTATGTTTAGGTTTAAATGGTTTAAATTATTATGATTAGTTAGTTTTTATTTGCAAAAAATTATTCTTCTTCTTCTTCAAGTGCCCTGTCCGTTGCGAACGTTGGCTATTAACATGGCAATTTTGATCTTGTTAGCGGCGCTTCTGAATAGTTCGACCGATGTGAGCCCGAACCACTTCCGCAGATTTTGGAGCCACGAGTGTCTTCTCCTGCCTGGCCCTCGCTTACTGTCTATTTTTCCCTGGACAATCAATTGTAGCAGACAGTACTTATCGTGTCTCAATATGTGGCCCAGATATTCAAGCTTTCTTTGTTTAATTGTATTCACGATTTCTTTCTCCTTTCCGATTCTTTGGAGTACCTCTATGTTGGTGACATGTTCGGTCCAGGATATACGAAGAATGCGTCGGTACACCCACATTTCGAATGCTTCTAGTTTTCTCGTTAGCGTCTCCGTCAGCGTCCAGGCCTCCACGCCATACAGCAAGATCGAAAAAATGTAGCATTTAACTAGACGTAGTTTTAGGGGAAGAGACAAATCCTTGCTTATGAGGAGCTTTTTCATGTTGCTAAATGCTGCTCTAGCTCGTTCTATTCTCACCTTAATTTCTATGGTCTGTTTCCATTTTGCATTTACGTTGGTACCAAGGTACACATAAGATTCTACATGGTCAATTAGTATGTTACTTATCCGTAATTGTCGAGCAGGTTGTTGCTTTTTGCTTATCAGCATCCACTTTGTCTTCTTGAAGTTGAGGCTCAGGCCGTATTCCTCACTAACTGAATAAAGCCTTTCCATTACTTGCTGTAATTCGTCTATGGTACTGGCAAGGATCACCGTGTCGTCGGCATATCAAACATTATTAAAGTTTGTTTTTTATTAACCGTTTTAAATATAAATATTGTTCAAGTATGATTTATTTTTATATTTACGTATATTTAAACTCATAGGTATTTATAATTAGGTTATTTCTAAAACAACCGTTACAAAAAAAATCAGTAATTTTCTAGGAACATTAAATAATATATTTTCATTCTTACTTTTACATAAAATTATATTTTATGTAAATGCCTCAATCATTTTAACTACAACTAAAATTTTTATTTCAAAATTACAATACAAGAAACAACACAGCATGGCAATATCCAAGTCAGTACATGGGCATAAGATCCTAACCATTATGACATTAAGAGAAGACTTTATGTTATCGTCACATGCATAAGAATTATGAACTTGTTATCTGAGGCTAATCGGCATTTTTTTAAACTAGTTAGTCCATCCATTCACAAAATAATAAATATATGTTCTAGTTCATTCATTCATTATTTTTTCTTCTTTAGAAGTCGAGACATAATTTAGAATGCAATTCGTTCGCAGTGAACTAGTTCTGTGAAAATTAATGAACTAGTTCAATTAGTTCAGTTGAAAGAATCGTTCATTAGAACTATTTCGATGGTGAACTACACATCCCTAATTAATATGCAGAACTCTTATTAAGCCCTTCCTCACCTACGCGTCACAAAAACTGACGATGACAAAAAGCTATGAAAAATATTTCATCATCATCCAGCCCTTTGCGTCCACTGCTGGACATAGGCCTCCCTCATTTTTGTCCATTGTGCTCTATCTTGAGCACTTTTCATCCAATTTATTGACATTTTCTTGAGATCGTCAGTCCAACGAGTAGAGGGTCTTTCTCTACTTCTTTTGTCTAACCTCAGCCTGCACTCAAGCAAGCTCTTCGTTCACCTTTCATCACTGATTCGGGCGACGTGTCCGGCCCAGTTCCATTTCAGTGTGGCAATTCGGGAAATTACATCAGTAACTCCTGTTCTTCGTCTTAAGTCTTCATTTCTAACTCGGTCACGAAGCGATATACTCAGCATTAACCTTTCCATTTTCCTCTGAGCTGTTTGCAGCGTTTTAGAACTTGTAGTTGTCAATGTCAAAGTTTCGGCACTATAGGTTATCAGAGGCAACACACATTCGTCAAATGTTTTATGTTTTAAAGAAATTGATATATCGTTTTTAAAGATGTCTTTGAGTTTTTCATAGGCTACCCATGCTAGGTTCATTCTTCTTCGCAGTTCGCATGTTTGGTTTTCTCTTGTGATCTTTATTTCGTGTCCAAGATATATGTATTTTCCACCAGCTCTACTTCATTGTCTCCAATATTGATATTTTCGCTAGGTACTAGGTTTGTCATAAATCTTGTTATGGAAATGTTTATTTTAAGACCAACACTGGCACACACTAACGAAAGTTTATGGAACATTGTACATATCTCCTTGAGGTTGTCCGAGAACAAAACTATACTATCTACGAATTTCAAACTTGTTAATCTTCTACCGTCAATGTTTAGGCCTTTCTCTTTCCAGTTAGGTTTTTTACAAGCATATTCTAGTACTGCGGTAAACAGTTTAGGCGATAAGGTATCACTCTGTCGGATTCCTCTGCCGATTGGGATATGATCCATGTTTTCATGTAGTTTCTCCGACACAGTTGCGTTCTTGTATATATTGTAAATTACCCTTGTATATCGGTAGTCAATGCGGCGTGCTTGACCATGTAGAATCTTATGTGTACCTTGGCACCAACGTAAATGCAAAATGGAAACAGACCATAGAAATTAAGGTGAGAATAGAACGAGCTAGAGCAGCATTTAGCAATATGAAAAAGCTCC